TGAAAGTTGATGGTTTTTTTTTTTTTTTTGGCAAGTTAGGGTCAGTTTGTGTATACTTTGGGATTTCTCGCACTTCTTATGTGATAATGGTGTATTTAAAATATTAATTTTTTTTGGACCTTAACTTAACTCTTGGACTTTAACCTTGAATTTAACTTTCAAAACAACACTTACATATGGATCTCCGAATCCCAACTTGATGTTAGATAAGTGCAAGAGATATATATATATATATATAATGCTGTAGAGTACGTCATCATCCTAAAATTTTTTTAAAGAATCCATCTAAAAACTTATTTTTAAATTAATATTTTTAAAAATTGACAATTGAATTAAAAGTTTTATTAATATAAATAAATCATGTTAATTTTCATATTGAATTGACACTTATAATCTTTTCATCAAATAAATTTTATTTACTAATATATATTTAATGATATTAAATTTTTTATAATTACCAAAATAGTTAGGCCTATTAAACAATCTAATATTGACATTTAAAAATATTAATTAAAAATAAACTTTTACATATATTGTCTAAAACATATATATAATGTATATGCTCAAAAGATACTTTGACAAGAAATTGTTGACACATCAATTCTATTTTAATGGTACATACCATATATTTAGGTGACCAAATGGAACAAAAAGTCGTTGTGGATTACAATAATTCAATAATCAGATTGCTATAGATTAATTGACTTGCATAGAAAAGTACACATTTCTCTGCCGAAAATTACCATTAAAAAAAAAATAATAAAAGAGGAAGAATACCAATCCAATCTGCTTCGTCTACCTTCAGCAAAGAGATGGGATTTGCATTCTTCCTTTATAATCATTAATTATAACCTAATTATGCTCCTACTGAGTTAATTTTATTAATTTAATGTTCCCTAGCTTCTCCTTCCCATGGCGTTTGCTTTAGCATGTGGAGTTAGGAGAACTTCATTGGAAAATTATTTCTTGACTAATCCACCGTCTTTCTGAGATCAATAATTCGATCATGTCCATAGAGGCTGATCCCAAAACGATCCTAGGTTGCTGTTATTGCTGTCATCGAGAAATCCCAGGTTGCCCAGCTGGTAGTTTTGTGGGTTACTGATGAAATTGTCGACTGATTGTTGGGAATTTGGTTCGGATTTTGCCATTTCCATGCACAGTAAGGCCACAAGGTTTGCCTGTTGAAGTTGCATGTTGACAAGCTCGGCTTGTGTTTTGGCCAATTGTGCTTGCAGTTCATTGACTTGCTTTTGTAGATGGCAAACTGCTCCTGCACAGCCGTATACAGGGTCTCGGATTCTGGCACTTGCCTCATAAACCATGCTGCTCACTGCATCAGCCCTTTGAGACTCTGGAAGTTCCTGAAAAGTTATTTCCAAAAATGGAGAACCAAAGTTAGATGTCTAGCTATAATTAACTAATCCAATCTAATTCTTAAGGTCAAGATCACCTAATTTTCCAGGCAGTCCTTTTCCTAATTCTATTCCATGGAAAATGCAATGTGATGGGGGAAGTTGATGATCAATACCATTTGACTTGATTCGTGAGGGCTACGGGAGAAATTTTTTCAAAACAGAGTGGGGTCATTAGCATTTGTTCTATCTCTACCACTACTTTTTTCCTTTTCCTAATCGATGATGTTATCCTTTAAAGACCAAATCGACCATTTGAAGAAAAAAGTGCGGTCCGCCTCGGGTGCCGTGTTTAAATAAATAAGAGTTTGAAATTAAGTCTGAAATTAAAGATTTTATGATAAAATGTGAAAATGACTTTGAAAATGAAGTGTGTTGGTCACATTTGGAAAAAAAAACTCTAAGATATTGTAAGGATATTTTTGAAAAATACAGAAGAAATTCGAAACATTTCTAATTAGTACCTGCAAGAACTTGATGATATTGCTAGCACCGAACACGCGGTGAGCAATGGTGAACTTGGCAGGCTCGGTGGGAGGAAAGTATGGTGCCAAGACGCATTTCTCAGCACACCTCCGCCTCAAAATCTTGCAAGCTGCACAAGGGCTGATGACCACGGTCGGAGTGGCGGATATCGGAGGGGGAGAAGAAGAAGAAGAAAGAGAGAGAGATTGAGGAGAAGATGCAGGGATTGTAGCAGCAGATGAGTCGCTTGAGTGATCCATCTCGAATCTGTAAAAATGAAATTGGGTAATTAGGAAGTGTTGAGGGCTGTGGTGGGGTTGGGTTGGAGCATAAATGAGGCGGTATAAATAGAGAAAAGGAAGAGGAAAAAGGGACTCAAGATGACATCATGAGTTGAAAATTCTGGTTGCGTTGGCTGCGGTGTTCTGTGTTCACCATTTTCTTCATTTGTTCCGTTAGGTTTAAGATTTTACGCTAACTTTGGCCTTATTATTGCATCTAACATCTTCCAGTTTGAAACCTGATCTACTCTATTTTATTATTATTATTATTATTATTTTAACTTCAAAATGAAAATAAAATTAAAATGTGAAACAAACCCATTAAATTATATAAATTTAACATGAACCTAGTTGTGTGGAGAAAAAAAATAATGACAACAACTAATATAGTTATAATATTTTATTATGAGTGAATTATTAAAAAATTATATAATAACATATTATAATTATATATTTACAATATTATCAATGAAAAAAAAAAGTTTCTTAAATTCCTTTCTTCTATGTTTGCTTCCTCAAAACTTAATTATCATGATGAAGTTTGTTTCTCTTGCAAAATTCTTCACCAATTGCCTAACTTTTACAGTTGTTTCTGTAGCTTTTTCCTATGAAATTTTTATTTTTCTTCATCCCTCTCCAACTTTGTAGGACTCAATCTTCCGTTCTGGATATATTTTCTGTCATTTGCTAGAAAAGTCATACCTCGCAACAAGCACATGCATAGAAATATGATGTAATCTAGCTTTACCTTAGACAATGACAAATGTTACAAACGCGTTTTATCCTATACTTAAAATCATCTAATAAATTGAGTTAATATTCAATATCTCTAAACTAAATCTTACTTAAGATCAAGATCACAATTGGTACTTCAAAAATAACCAATTACACTTAACTCTCTTATATTTATATATATTTATATATTTTTTTTTTACTTGATGATTTTTATTTTTTGGGTATTTAGACTTTTAGGCTAAATTAAATGGCCCACACCTATCTACCATTACCGCTAGCCTTAAAGGGAATGCCACGTAGTAGTTAATATTGGACATATTAGTTGAAAAACGGTTTTCTTCGTATGTACAGTATTTTGATTGAGCTCGCTGCTACCTCCTAAGTCCTAATCAGCAAACCACCACTCCCACATCACCTCGAAAACGACATTACTGTCCAAGTAAAACGCGGCAGCTCTAACCTTCCATTTTCCCATCGTACGTGTAACACATCCCATTACAATAATCACACGTGCACCGCATATATTTATATAAAAAATTGAAATTACACAAAAAAATTACTCTCTATTCAACTTTATGAGTAGGTGTAATTTTTTTTGTCTAATAAAATGTAATAATTAGTTAATAAAATTTTATATTTATTTCTAATTAATTATTAGTTACTAAATAAGTTTTCTTATTTAATTCATATTTAATTATTTTTTAAAAATAAAGATAAAATATGAAAAACTATATTGGTAAATGATATATTTGAACACTTCAAATTAAAAATTTTAAAAACAAATAATAATTGTGAAATAGTTTTTTATTTAATTTTTTTATAGATCACAAAATAAAAAACAGCTCCTTTTGCTTTCTCCCACTTTCCTTAATATTTGCAATTCTTTCACTTCATTTTTTATTTCAACTTTCAATTCATCCATCTGTCATGCGGTTAAAATCTACTTTTAATTTATAAATTAAAATGGTCAAGGTAGGCAGAGGAACGGTTGGCTATCGTTAGCAAAAACAATATTTAAGTTGCCGATAACGATTTGGACATCTTTAATCTCATAAAATAATATAATGATTGCAAATAAAATAATTAGCAAATGAAATCAGAAAGTTAGGGTAGTGCAATTGTCATACCTCACTCGTTTTTTCGAAAAGCTCATCCAATTATTAATTTACAATTAAGTTACAATCCAAAGTGACCTAAATTTCCACCTCATGGAAAGAAAGAAAAAAAAAAAAGAAGAAGAAGAAAATCTATGGTTCAGCTTTGCGGTGGAAGCAGTTGGCCTTGTAATATTCTTCCCACTATTCTCTCATTCTCTCCCAAAAAGGTCGTCTGCGTGTGGACCTTCCGCCATTGGGAGGCCAATTGCTTTTATTTTATCTAAAAAATGGGTTCATATTGATCTCAAGAAAATAAACTAATCCGTCTAATATGTAAACAGATGATTCGTTTCCCGCCCAAAAACGTGACTATCTACTTAATTGCTGTGTCTGACATTTTTTTCCTTTGATTTTCATGTGGCTAGGTAAGTAGGTCTAATATCATTTGATGAAGTTTAAGGTAATCCCAATCATGAATATTATGGTTTGATCAAATATTTCCTAATAAATTTTACTAAAAGTTAAATATGTTAGGCACCTAAATTTTATAGTCTAATGACTATAAGTCAAATTATAAGGTATACTTTCAACTCACCAAATTTTAAAGTATATTCCTAATCTTTGAATTAGGATTTGAATCTTTTGTTTCCAAATATAAATCCATTCAAAAAAATAAATAAGTATCTTACAAAAAATTCTAAATTTAAATCACCCAATTTGTTGTATGATTCAAGTCCAAGATTTCATTATAACTAACAAGTGTTCACATTCACAAACGTGCCTATGCCTATGTTATAGAGTCTATTGCAAACGAGTTTCATGCTTGGAGGAAAGGAAGGTCGCTGGGAAATTACGGTAGTAAGAGAGTTGAGGAAGGAATTGTATTGCCCTGCCAGCGGAGAAATGTCATGGTCGAGTAGAATAGTCATACGTACTATTGAAGTATAGACTGCCATTCAGAGTTCAGTTAATATACGGAATTTGGTACTTGGAGCATCCATTCCAGTTGTTAATTTCTGACCATAAATCATTCCATTAAGAAAAATTAATACGCCACTTCATCATGCCATCTGAAGATTAGAACAAAAAAGTTCGATCGATCCTGTACGAGATCAACGGACAGGGCAAAGGACGATCCTTCTTGGAAGCCCACATTTAGAAGACACCCTGAATCATAATTGCGACCAAGACCATGACCCCCAACATTCCTTAGACTTGACCACAGCTGCCGAATTTAATGACAAAACCAAAGTTGTATTCCAAATAAATGTATATAACATGTGTAGATATTGGATTCTGTCCTAACAATACAAACCAATATCTTCAATTCCTACCATAATTTGCATTCAACAGGATTGGAGAGAACCGTTTTTCTGGTACATTGGAACTGACTCATATCTAGGATCATGGAAGAAAGGTTCCGAAGGAAAAAAAAATTTACCAAGTCTCTGGAAGCTTAGAATTTTTTGCACTCAAAATGCTACTGAAAGGCCCACACGGTTTTAGGGACAGAAGGTCTTTGTTGCAGCTCAGTTTCTCACACGGACCGCTTGCAGTGGGAGAGTGAGTCACTGAGACAGCTAAGAGCCGCATCCCAAATTCTTACCCTTCCCTTTCTCTTTCAAAGACTTGGTTACCCATTTCTATGTAGAAGATTGAAAACAAACAGCTTAATTTATTCAGTCACTCTCATAATTTTATTGTAAAATTCATCAGAACTTTGAAACTCTTTAAGAAACACTATGGGCTACCAGACACCCACAACGAAACAACAGTCAATCCCACTAAGTTTTTTCAGAATAAAAAATGAACTTTTAAAAGTTGTTTACGTAACAGAACCATTTTGGAATATATTATTTTTTCTATGACTAAGACTCTCAAAAATTTTTATTTTTAATTAACATTTTTTATAATTTAAAATTCATAAAAACCCTAAAGACTAATAATCAATTTTTTTTATTATCACTCTGATTTTGTTGATAATTTAAAATTTTTTATAAATTTTAAATTATTAAGGGTGTTAATCAGATGTGAAAATTATAAAAAATACTGATTAAAAAAAATGTGTAAAGTATAAATAAAAAGTTTGACTATTTAAAAAATAAGACGTCGATAATTGTCGTGTCAGGCCTATAAAAAGTCTTTGGATTCACTAGTTGGAGTTAGGTTTGTGCTTTACTGCGTGCTTTCTACAAAAGAAAAATAAGATGGAGATACAAAGTATTTAGCAAGAGCTCTATAGTTGGGAATGTTAACGTTCAATCTTTTCACATTCAGCATGTTGTGTGCTATAACTCATTCTTTAGGATATTTATATTAAATAAAAAATTTCTGGGTTTGGCCGAGTTTACCAAGAATCAGTTATGGTCCTAGTTTGAGCAGAGTCATATACAATAACTCATACTTTAGGCTTACAGCATATGGTATGCCATACAAACATTCAGGGACAGAGAAAGTAAAGATGTGAATAAAAATTAAAACAAGCAACTTCAGTCCTTTTAGGTGTACTGCAGACAAAGAAACTAACTATATTTCCTTGCATCACAAAAAGGTATCTCGTAATGTTCATGCAAACTTACACTTGAGTGTGGAAGTTAACCACCCCCTATCCCCTCTACTTTAGATAGGAAGCGAGGCACCCACCCATCTTTCCCTTAAATAAAAAGAATGAAACCACATCAGTCTTGGAGTACTGAATACAAAAGATGCCAAGTTTTAATTTGTTTGTCTTGATTTTAGTTACTAATTGTGACATTAAGGAAAGCAATAATCTCGATTTAGGTCTTTTAAAAGAGAAAACAGAGCAATGAACAAACAAATTATAATGCACAAATGTTGCAAACCTCAAGCAGAAAGAGAGTAAGTTGGTTTCCAAAAGCTACCTTTCATTTCCAAATCTGAAAGGGAACATTTTGAACAGGATTACTTAACAAGATAGACAAAATAATAACTACAGGGGAAGACCATCCTACAAAAAACAAATCCTCAAGTTTTTTTTACTCCGGCAGTAGTTGTTAAACTATTTTTCATATTAGAAAGAGAAAAAAAGAAGTTAAAAGCTATTAACAGAAGCTAGATAATACTGCCAAGAAACAGAGATCAAGGTTCTATAAATTACATTTAGTTGAAGAGATCAGGTATAATGGTACCAGAGTAAAGCACATTGAAGGAATGATCCTTTTTTATGAGAAGAATATGAATTACAAAATACATTTAGTTGTGTAGTAATCAATTCTCTAAATTAAAAGAGAAACAGAAGGCAAGTAGGAAAAAATTTTGAGGAAACGCACCCAAATGTTTTTATATAATGTGATATGAAAACCAACATAACTTCCATGTCAGCAAAACATAATTAAAAAATTTAAATTATCACATAAATGTAGATTTTAAAAAATCTCAGAACCAGAAGGAAACAACATAAAAATAATCTGCTACCATCAAGCTTTTTTCACTGGATGAAAAATGTCTCTGACAGAGGTAGTGAAAAGATACTAGGAAGAAATTCAAGAAAAAGAAAAAAAAAATGTTTAAGATGAAAGGGAGAAAAACAAATTTAGTGCAAACTCCATTCACATTCACTGAGATGAAGCAGACAGCAAGTTTTCCCTAGCCCCTTTTTCTATCTCAGCATCAAAGAAGTCTTGAAGTGTAATCATATTAATTGTGCTTGACTTCAAGCTTCTTATTCCCTCTGCAGTGGCTAAGGCTCCATCCACAGTTGTCATTACAGGAACTTTGTATGCAAGAGCCATTCTCCTCATCTCTCTCCCATCAATCCAATAAAGGGCATCACCAGAGCTTGTGATTACCATCAACTGGATCTCCCCATTAGCAACCATATCACCCGCACGTGGTCAACCCTCATGCATCTTCAACACTCATTCCACTGGGATACCTTTAAGTTCAAGAAACTGGGCTGTCCTGGAAGTTGAGACAATGTTGAATCCTAGACCTAAGAAGACCTTTGCAATCTTTTCAAGATGGGGCTTTGTCAAGTCATTTAGGCTGCGGAACACAATACCAGACATTGGAAGCTTCAGCTCATCAGTGATCTGGCTTTGGCAAATGCAGTTGCAAACTTGAAATCTATACCCATCACTTCACCAGTGCTTTTCAATTCAGGACCTAACACCACATCACATCCTTGGAACTCCTCAAATGGAAGGACAGCTTCTTTAACTGACAGATGTTTTGGAATTACCTCATCCACAAAACCGAGATCATGAAGTGACTTTCCAGACATAACAAGGGCAGCATACTTAGCCAATGGGTGCCCAATTGACTTAGACTCAAATGGTACAGTATGCGAAGCACAAGGATTTGCCTCAAGCAAGAAAACCTCCCCAGATGTTGTGATTGCGAACTGACAGTTCATGAGCCCACACACATCTAGGCTCCTCGTCAATTTTGTAGTCCATAACCTTATAATGTCCAAACAAGAAGATGGGATGGTCACCAGCCTGCTTGATGTGCTCCATTATTCCCCCAGTGACCACATTACCGTATGAATCAGCAAGCACATCTACATCAATCTCAATCAGATCAGATAAATACCTGTCAATCAATACAGGACGTTCTGGATCCACCTCAATTGCATTCCCTAGGTACGTCACAAGCTTTTCATCAGAACACACAATCTCCATAGCACAGCCACCCAACACATAAGAGGGTCACAACACTATTGGGCAGATCCAACACAATGGCAAAAGCATCATCTTTGCTCTTGGCAATACCTCCTTCTGGCAGCTCAATGTTTAACTCCTTAAGAATTGCATTGAACCTCTCTCTGTCCTCAGCTGCATCAATGGAATCCAGTGATGTATGCCAGATGCGCACATGACCAGCCCCACTGGCAGATAAAAGTTTGTGCTCATCCAAGTACTACTGGATGGGGAGAGCCAGCTTTGACCGTGTTTGACCTCCAAACTGAACAATGATGCCATCAG